CGAGGTGCCCACGTCGCGCTCGTCGCGGCCAAACTCCTCCACTTCCTCCACTTGCTCTTCCAGGATCCATTCCTCCTCCTCCTCTTCCGATTCTTCTTCGTCTTCCTCGCATGAATTCTTGAGCTTGAGCAGCTCCAGCGGCGGCTTGACTGCCGCCACTCTCCCGCCGCCGCCGCCGCCGACCGGCTTGATGGATTGCTCGTCCGCGAACTTTACGTGATGGTGGTGGTGGTGATTGTTGTGATGCGCCACCGCCGCCGCCTGGGCCTCGATTCCATTGGCGAGCACCATTCCCCCGTTGACGAGCAACAGCGAGCTGCTTTTCTTGGGTAGATCCACCATAGCCGTCCCCATTCCTTTAAATGGATCCTCTCCCCCCTCCAAACGCCTCCATCGCCTCAAATCAATCTCCTCCTCAAATCTCCCGATTCTTCCTCTCAAGAGCTATCAATGAGAAAAGCCACACCAAACTCTCGAATCGCAATCGAATCCCTCCACGGCGCACAGCATCGCCAATCCAGATTCTCAACGCCCAGATCCCCGGAAGGACGGATCGAGCATTCCAATTCCTCGACGCAAGCCAATCGAACCGATACACGCTCTGTCCGAGTAGGAGGGCGGGCGTGAGAGAGAGTAAAAGTCGCGAAGAATTTCCTTGCTTGGCCCCTTGGAGGGGTCAACCAACAAGGAAGGAAATAAAACCGCAAAGGACTCAAACACACACCACAAACACACACACACACACAAATGGAGAGGGAAGGGTGTTTTTCCGCTTTTATACAAGGGTGGTACGCTGTTAGAACTTGGCCCATGACCATGGGAAGAGCCAACCTTCTTTGATTTGTTTTGAGACACTGAAAAAAAGCTTAACAAAGAAAAAATAAAACAAGACAACAACGCGAAGAATTCTCTCACTTTCTCGAGCCAACCGCCCCCGCATATGAACCGCACGTTTTCTCACTGTTGAATCTTCCTGGATGTTTCTTCTGTCGGACGCTGGTTTGACCATTGATCGAGCGTTAATCATCGGTTTGATCAGTAGCAAACGTTTGTACGTTGATCGAGCCATTAGTCACCTGATTTGATCAGTAGCAGAACTCATGAAGTACCATTTGGTTGATCGAGATCATTCGTCTCCGGAGCGGTTGCTCGGGTGTCAGCTTCAAGGGATGCGATGCGTCTGAATCGACCCACTCCATTGTTAATACAATTAAGAATATATAAACCCAAATTCTTCCCAAAAGACTTGGAGAGCAGTGACTCACCTGGAACTTATTTTAATCTCGAGCTCGTGAAGTTTCTCTCTTTTTTTTTTCGCCCCCACCTCGATCGACTAATTTGGCCCGTCATGCTCGCAACAGCAGCACCACCAGGCTGTCCTGGCCATTTCAAAACACTTGGCAGTATCCCCTCCACGATTAGTGTCCGGCATTAGAGACTAAGACACCTTGCCAATAGCTCTTCGGCTCCCCAAGAAGCAGTAGCGTTTGCATCACCCACGGCACAGCCCAGAACTGTTGGACGGGACCACCGTTGGAATCACTGCTACTTGACTCTTGGCTTGTTCCACGGGGCACACCCAAAAAATCTGTGGATCTCATACTTCAGCACAGCCGGCAGTATTAGTCACAACGACAGAATCAGAACCATAGAAAAAACATCTTGACTTGAGCAAACCTCTTTCTTTTTCCTTCACTCTCCATGCAATACAGAGGATCTGATCATCCAAACGAGCATTAAGAGAGGAAAAGCAAAAAATAAACAAGTACCTTGTCAACACTCTTCTACTTTAAGCTCCTGGAGCAAATGATAAAGTGAGAGCCGAAGAGAACACAGGGATAAAACACAGTCACGAATACCTTCGTGTCAAGCTGCCGAAGGAATCATCCCAGTCTGCCTCGCGTACGCAAAGATCCCGCCAGCTTCGATCACCGGCGCGGCATCGCCCAGCGGCTTGAGCGCGTACTCCTTTCCAGTGGAGTGATTCACCACCACGTCGCGCTCCATGTCCACGGTCACGTCGTCCCCGTTGTGGAACTCGTCACAGATGCGAGCTTCACACTCGACGGGATACATCTCGCCGGTGGCCACCGAGTTCCGGAAGAAGATCCTGGCATAGGACTCGGCCACCACCACCTGGATCCCGGACGCTCCCAGAGCAACCGGGGCGTGCTCGCGGGAGGAGCCACAGCCAAAGTTGGAGCCGGCGATGATGATCGAGTACTTGGTCTTGCTCTTGCCGGGCTCCATGAACTGTCCATAGTGTGGCGGAAGCCCGGCCATGGCGTAGCTCCCCAGCTTCTCATACTCGTCCGGCTTGGAGGGGACGAGCGTGAGATACTCGGCCGGAATGATCTGATCGGTGTCGATATTGTCACGCACCACGAAGCATTTGCCCGAGATCTGACGCGACGGTGTGTCCCCGGCCATGGCGATCACGGGCGCCGCGGGCTTGATCGCCGGAGAGAATGTAGCTATGCGCTGGGGCTTGATGCTCTTGCTGCCCCAGATGCTGCTGGCATTGGCGGCGCTTGGCAGGGAGATCGAGGCGCGAGGATGCGAACCTGGTGGATATGGAGCTGGCTTGGATGCCGCGGCGGCGCCATGCACGATCAAGCGAGCGCTGGAAGTCGCCATTGGTGCGCGCTTAAACCCTAGTGAAGCCCTAGAGGAGCCCTAGAATGGGGAGGAAGAAGAAGAGCGGGTCGGGGGAGGCGTGGAAGGATGTGACGCCGCAGGAGCCGACATCGCTGCTCCTGGGCAGCGGCCATGGAGGTATGGATCAATTTGCGAGCGACGCGATCATGGATGTTCTCCTTTGCAGGTTTTGTGTCTCTGGAGGAGATTGATGAGGATCTGGTGTTTGGACTCGAGCCTCCGGCCGGGGAGGATTTGAGTGGGAAGAATGCGAAGAAAGGGAAGAGGAAACGCGCGTTGGAAACTGATCTAGGCGAGGAGAAACATGCGAAGAAGAATAAGAAGAGAAAAGAGAAAATGCTCGCTAGTGACACCGATCTAGCCGACGGAAATGCTGCGATGAGAAAGGAGAAGAAGAAGAAGAAGAAGAAGGGAAATGCCGAGCCTGGTGATACTGCCCAAGATAAAGAGGCTTTAAACTCTCCTCGAGGGAAGAAAAGGAAGAACAAGCGTTTGCGTGAAAATACTACGTCCGGTGCCAACAAGAGATCAAAGCTAGATGGTGGAGGTAAGATTTTAGATGCAGGTGTTTTTCTTTTCTCAAAACGATCTTCGTTCTTACAGATAATGGGAGTGAAGGTTTGGAGAGAGTCGATGTTGTTCTTCCCGAATGGAACGAGTTGAGACTTCATCCTTCACTGCTAAGAGCTCTTTCTATTCTTGGCTTTACCACTCCAACTCCCATCCAGAAGGCATGCATTCCAGCAGCTGCGCACAAGGGAAAGGTGTGGTTTACCTTTTCGTATTTTTATATTTCATGTTCATTTTTTTTATCTACTTGCTCTAGGACGTTATCGGGGCCGCAGAGACTGGATCAGGAAAAACCTTAGCTTTTGGCATACCAATTTTGCAAAGGCTTCTTGATGAACGCGATAAGCTCTTGC